ATATATATACATATACATATACATATATAGTTTTGTTTTTTGCCTGTGTATGTGTAAATAAAATAAATTTCTTTAGGATGAGACAAAGAACATTCAAGGTACTTCCATTTTTAGAGCTTTCCTTTTGCTTACAGTGAAGAACTAAAACATGCCATTGTTGTTTCTGCATCACTTCAGYGAATAAACTGTGTTTGATTTTTGTTTAGTTTCAATGGAACCAACTTAACCTTTTATTACTAATGTGCCCTATTTTTACAAAGATGATTTGAATTTGGGGAAAATGTTAAAATATCCTCATTAGATTGAGCAAACTGGGCTAAAATCTTTACAATTGTTTTCAAAAAAGCTGTTTTTTCAGATAAATATTTTTAAAACTTCTATTTCAGACATCTCAGATATATTGCACATATTTTCTGTTATATGCTAAATGACATAAAGGTGCATTTTATTTATCTGACTGTTGAATTCATAACATTACTGAAGTGCTTTAGCACTGAAACTCAAAGCAGCACTGGTTAGCGTACGCTAAAGACCACAGTGATGACAGCAGAGGCAGACCGTAATGGTACACAGAGGACATGGCCATATTGTATGATTTAAGAAGCATATCCATTACACACCGCAGTCATCACACCCACACACCCACATGCACACACACGTGCAGCCTTTCCAGACCACCGATGCCACATTGTGGGCTAACACCATCTGGTGCCAATCAGGAAACACCAGCTTTTGCACAAGTCAGTGTCTCTAATTATCTACCTCGAGCAAAAGGAGGCAGATCCCCACTAATCTCCTCAATGTGTTCTGCTTCCCATTCCCACCTGTGCCCCCCCAATAAAGGAGGGGGTGCGGTGGGGTACGTGGGAGGACTGGGGTCTCTGTGTCAAGGGAGCAGGGACCAGGTGACGCTGCAGAGCCGGTCCCCAGGACAGAAGCTCCACCGCTTGGTTTGGCTAGCAGCTGCCTCCCCCCACTGAGACATCCCACAGCTGACAATCCCCCAGCGCTGACAGGAGCTCTTTACAGTGTCAATAGCCTCATATATTAGAGCTAACCGCCTTTGTGGCGAGCGAGGGTGTCAGGCCTTTTGGCCCGACAGAGCTTGTTACCATGATGAAATGTAGATTGAATGGAGGGGGGTCTGTGTCCCAGGCACGAGAGCTTTGACTCCCACTGCCTTTGTGTCCCACGCATGGCTATTGTTCAAAGCCCTTCAGCGCTCCGAGGAGGAGGTGGTGGGTGAGAATGAGTTACATCTTTGCTTTCTCTCCCGATCTCCGACTCATCTGTCAGCCGTGGGAGGATAAGCATGTATTTTACACGCTTGATTTGTTGCTAAGTGAAGGGCCAGCCATTGCTGAGTTGTTTGACTGAATCATGTCCGTGACACTGGGTGTGTTTTGTTTAAATAGGGTTGTTTATGGTTCGTTGTGGGGGGGAKCGTCTTTGTGAATCAGCTAAAAGTTGACCTTCATCACCGAAGCGACCGCAAAAGAGTATGTGGAAATATGAACATCCTGATTAAACTGAAGTTTCTTGAGTGAACATGCTGTGTCCTCCGCTCTAATTTTGTCCTTTGTGTGCCTATATCCATAATCATATGAGACAGTGACAAATGGCTGGCCTGCAGCTGAGGACATCGTTGTGTCCCTCGCCTGTGTCTGACAAAAGTGACGCGCCGTCCTGGCGCCTGTGTCGTCCTTTCATCTCCTACACCCTGTTGAGGTGAAGATTGATGGTCCCCTGGCTCAAGAACACCACATTCAGCTTCTGTGCTGCTGTATTGTCTCACCCTCCTGTCCCTCTCTAACCTTTTAGAGGTTAGTCTGTCCAAAACCAGTTAGCAACAAATACTTTGTCCTAAATATCTTTTTTTTTGTCAAAGCACGGTCAAAACCCATCTGTTCATAAAAAATGTTGCTTTGTTGCACTTCAAAGCATTTATACCTCATGCATCTCTTTTGCTGAGAAGTTTAAATAACTTTAATTAAAAACACAGATATTTGGGGTAAACAGCAGTCAGGCGAAATAAATGATGAAGAAAGCAAACACAAGTTACTTTTAAAATGTATTTTAATTTATGAAAATAGAAATCCTGCACAATATCAAACATTTGTTTCCACAATGACTCATCAAAAAAAAAGGCATCAAACTGCAGACTTTGCTGCTCGAATCAGATTCCTGGCACATTCAGAGCATAAGAAGAAGAAACAAATTAATGACAAATAGCAGCAGTTTATATTAACAAAATGTACAATTCTGGAACCAGGCAGCATGTAAGTTAGTCCGGTTTGGTTCTGTGCTCTGATCCAAACAGAAACAGTCATTTAAAAGGGAGTTCCGCTCATTTGCTCATAGACAAGCTGTGTAACGTGGAGGTGGTCGTGGGCAGGGGCTGGCAGAGCGTGCACGGRCAGGGCATGCCAGGGAAGTGCCGGTAGGAACTGCTCAGGTGGAGCGGGTCTTTCAGGAGGCCCTGGACCGGAGCGTGGAAGCCCAGGAAGGTGGCCGAAGGAGGGGAGTGTGGAGCCGGAGCTGAAGAGGGAGAGGAGGCGTGATGTTGCAGAGCTGCAGGCGCGCTGCCCACCAGCGAGTGAAGAGACTGGGCCAGAGGATGCAGCGGGAGGTGGGCAGCTGTGGCTGCGGGGGCCATGGCGTGGTGGGCAGCGGAGCGGCTCTGCGCGGCAGCGCTGCCGCCGTAGACGTCCCCAACCAGCTTCTTCATCTCCTCCAAGGAGCTGGAGAGCATCAGGATGTAGTTACGAGCCAGCAGCAAGGTGGAGATTTTGGAAAGTTTGCGAACAGAAGGGCCGTGAGCGTACGGCATCACCTCCCTCAGGCCGTCCATGGCTTGGTTCAGGTCGTGCATCCTCTTCCTCTCTCGACTGTTGACTTTAAGCCTCAGGTCCTGCATCTCTTCCTTGCTGAGCTCAGACCTGTTTTTGGCCTTTGCTCCTCCGCCACCGCAGCGCTCGTTTCTGTCTTGGCCGGCCTCGCTGCTCTGTCGGTTCTCCAGGCAGTATTTCTGGAACATCTTGTTGGAGAAGAAACTCCCAGCAGAGTCGTCCACCACCAGGTCTGGGGATGAGGAGCGGCTGCAGGTGGAACTGGCGTCCGAGTCCATTTTAACAGAAATTTCCAAAAAAAAATGGTAATAAACAAACTCAAACCCAGACAGCGTAAATGGAAGAAACACTTTAAAAAATGATTTTCCCAAAGAGTTACGGRGAGACTGTGCTGCTTGCTTTGATGCTCAGTCTGTCCACAGGAGTGAGAGTGTTTCTAAACTGTCACCCCATGGGCCTGCTGGTGTGTTTTTATACCCCGGACACAACAAAGGAACAAAAAAACTGCATAATGAGACACTTAGGGCCACAACCAATTGCAGAAGGGACACACTTTCACCCCCTCTAACACCCCCTTCCTGCAGCCCCCCACTTCACCTTCCCACACCCGCTTTAACATYCTTTAAGCCCAACATATTAATGCTCACATGTTATGATGCACTACAAAGATTAACCATGAATGCATAGAAACATCAGTCAGTTTTTGGTCCATCTTAAAAGTTGATCAAATCCATATTTTCTCCCTTTGTGTTTTGACCTTTAAGTGAAGTGAAAGTGAGAGTGTTAACCCCTGAGTTCAACAGGCCACAGTTTTTATTGCCTTCTTSCATGACACCAGATAGATGATGCCTCCAAGGCCTTATTTACATACGGTAGCCATGAGACACTTTGGAGAAAGGTATGAGGCACCATATGAGGCGCTTGAACACATAAAGAACAGCGTTAATGGCAGACTAGGTCCAATTCAACCAGGAGCTTAAAACAAAGGAGGTCAAATCAATTTGACTCGACTCCCMCAAACAGTCTGTGAAATCACATCACTATCTCTGGAAGTGGGGGTCCTTCATTTGAGGAGGAGGTAGTTAAAAAGCTACTAAACAAGCAGACATGGCTTTGTTCCTTTCTAATTCACTTGTAAAGTTTCGAGCACTTTTTAATTTTATAATGGTTTTTGTTCGCTTTTAGAGAAAGTGTAACGTCTCGCTCATTCAGGATGGAAAAGTTGGGTTTCTTTCAGACTTCAAATGAGTTTTGGCTCATATGAGTGGTGCTCTGAGGCTGGATTTCACCACTTAGTTTGGGAATTTCCTGCCTGCTGTGTGCCAAATGCTCAAGTTCCAAAATAGAAATAGTCTCCATAAAACCTGTCCTAGAATTATATTCTCCATAATAAGCAAAGAAATTTGTAAAAAACATCAGTTTTGTTTTGTCCTATTAGGAGAATGGCCTCTGTGAAGCTTTCATCAAAAATTTTATCCAGCTTTATTTTAAAAAAGACAATTTTACAAGCATCTTGCATGTGGAAACTGTTTATTTCTCTTCTGTGTGAAACACAGTAGGATCCTCTTCAATATTCATGTTAACCCACAAAAAAGTTATTTTCTCCCCACACTGTTAAATGATTTAATGTCTAAATATTCATTGTTTTTCGTGTGTTTTCTCAAGTTTTGTGCTGAAACACTTTTTTATAATTTTTTTCCATCAGCACTGAAGAAAATCCTGACTAATGGAGCTAAACTTGTGTAAAAGTCATCATATTTATCTTTAACCCACCTATCTTTGAACTAATTATTTAACTTTTTCTATTAATATTTTTCAATACTCTGATAGTATTTTCCTCTGATTTCAATTTAAAACATCGGATGTCTCTCTCAGTGGTTTGTATTTCAGCATAATGTCAAAGCAAAAAGTCCTTGAAAATCGATTCAACTCATGGATTTAAAGAAAGCAGGAATCTGGAGGGTCCTTAAGACCCCCCCACCACTGCTCCATCAGGGGGCCTCCCAGGGTGCTTTGGCTCAGTCAGTATTCAGTAATACTATAATTGGTGGAACCTTGAGAGCTAACATAAGCCAGTTATTTGGAGCATATGGATTTTCCCGTTGTTAGGCTGTTAGCCAATGTGGCTGCAGGATTCCTCTTCATTAATTGGGTCTTATCCTAATTAACAATGTTGGACACAACCGTCCAGTCTTTAAAAGCATTTAATGGTTGGGTTCATGCCACTATTTTACTCAAAAAAAAAATCCAAATAAGTCTCCGATAAACTGTAAATTGAAATAAACTTTCACTTGAACCAAATTACATTACTTAATTTGTAAAAATCATGTAAAAATGTATGACTTTAATAAAAAAAAACAGCTAAAAGAAATAGTTAGGGATCAATAGAAGTACAATCAGCACATATAGGGATTTAAAGGGACTCTAGCTGAATAATGGAGTGTAAGCAGTCCTACTCTTACTCTATTCCTGCGCTCATGAGCCACATAAATCCCATTCTCCCAATCATTCTTATCCTTATTCATGTGTTTGTGTAGGCAACGGGCCACACAGAGAGACACAAAAGTCTCCGAGCTTTGTGTTTTCCAACAGAAAGGGTAGCCACCTTCCATGTTTCCATATAATCCTTCAGTTTTTAACCCTGCATTAAAGTGTTTGACTTTCTTCTCAAGATGCCACCTTTCAGGACCCGTCATCCAATTCAGAGCTCTGAGTCATCCCTTTTTTTTTTATTTTTTAGGCTTCAGCGACCCGCTTTCTGCTGCCTCCTGGGGTGCTCTCCAGTGAAAGTGCTCAGGTGACCAGAAAATGAGGGCATTATCACAGGCATATGCTTGTAGTGACAGAGGATCAGGCCAGATTAGGGCCTATCATGGCTCAATAAAAGTGCTAAGCTGAAGAGCAAACCTGTGCTGTGTACCATAAGGCCTCCTTCACCCTCTGTTGGTCTTTGTTTAACTGGATCAGCGCTTCGATCTTCTGGGTGTTAATCCACGCCGGAGCAGAGTGAGTAAAGAATGAAACGGCAGCTTTTGGGTTTCACCTTTTTCTCATTACTTATTGCACATCAAAGCTCTAAATTCAAATATATATGATGAATGGGTTTGCTTTATCTGCGCATTTTTGTTTTCGCCTAGGATAAAGATATAAAACTGTTTCGCCGAGGGTCTGATGGGGCTGACAAGTGTTTCTGAGAGCAGAGAGTGGTGCCCTTTGTTATCACAAACCGCTCAGTGATTTATTCATTTACACTGCCTGAAACAATTGCATTATCTCAGCCGCAACAAAAAGACTCAAAGGCAGTATGAAAATCCCCCAGGATGTTTATGAGTCACTAAAGACTCCAATAACTTTCCCCTTCATTTTTAAGGGGCCGTGGAGGATTGCGTGCTGTGGAAGGCTGCGGGGCGAGGGGAGTCAGGAGGAGGTGTTCGAGCGCAGGAGAATGAAAGGAGTCCGGACCGTCTTTTCTGGAGCTGAATGGGGCTCGGTCAGCAGGCTGTCCCATACACTGGCCTGCTCCATGCTGCTAGAACTTCATAAATTACCCCCACAATTACCCCGAGGGAGGACAGACAGCTCGAAGGGGGTGAGAGTGAAAGAGGATAAAGGAGAACTGGTTGAAGAGCAGACCGTCATCAGGAGGTGGAGGAACCAGATCCAGATGTTGGCCTTCAGGTTGGCAGGACCCGAAACCATGACAGCTTCATCATCACCTTATAAAGTTTTATAGATAGATAGATAGATAGATAGATAGATAGATAGATAGATAGATAGATAGATAGATAGATAGATAG